GAATGGGAGGGAGGGGGAGGGCAGGGAGGGGCAGGACGGGAGGGGAGAAGCCGAGAGAGGGCGCGGGGGAAAGGAGGGGGAAACGAGATTGGGAACGGAGCGAGGCTCCTGGGAGGGAGGGGGGCGCGGAGGGGCGGGGCGGGAGGGGAGAGAAGCCGAGATAGAAGGAGAGAGAGAGAGAGAGAGGAAGCGGGGGAGAGGAGGGGAAGCGGGAGAGGGAAAGGCACGAGGCTCCTGGGAGGGCCCTCCGCTGCTCCCGTCGATAGTCTCTCCCTGGTGTCTCCCCTGCGCTATTCATCCGCCCTCCCCTCTGCGGAGCGCTGGGGCGCGCCGACGGTGGGCACCGTCCGGAACACGACGCACGAGGGTGTCCGCATTTGCCTCCCTGCTGGGAGGCGAGGCGACCAGCCGATTGAACAAAGCTGCATCGGGCAAGACGGTTCAATCCAAGGGCTCCCAACTTCGCGCTTCGCGCTGCGCGAAGCGCGAAGTGCGAATAATTTCGCGCTCTCGCGCCGCCTCCCAGGGGAGAAGAGGAGGATGAGGAGGAATCGGAGCCGAAGCGCGAAGCGCGAAGCGCGAATAACTTCGCGCCCTCGAGGGCGCCCTTGTCTGTCTGTGTTCTATACAATTTGAAAAAATCTCGTGGGGCTCGCCGGCCGCGGCCTGACGGCCCCGACGGCGACGACAACGACCACGAGCCGGGAACACTTTTTTTACATCGTCCACTTCTCAGAAGGCTGCTGCCCCCCCTGGCATGTCAGAATCGCCTGGTCGCACTCGGCACGGAGAAAGAAGCAAGAATCTCATGCAACGCCTCGCCCTGATACGAGCAGCTGCAGTGGCCAGGCGGGGAAGAACGTGCGTCTGCGCGGGAGCTGCACGCTCATGATGTCTCTTCAACGTGCCTGCGCATGGAAGCGCGGCGCGAGCGGCATGCCATAGTCCACCGCTTGGGCAGAAGACTGCACGTTGCAAATTCAGACCGTCCCGATTGTCCGCGTCGCGGGGACACGCTCTTGCAACTCACCGCAGCGTTGCCGGCGTGAGAGCAAATACCACCGCTTGATCGATGACATGCGACACTGGATCCACCCTCATCTACAGTGCGGGCGCGGTCGCAAGAAACCCTCGCAAGAAACCCAGCCCTGGAAACCCGCGCGCGAGGTGCGCCTCAGGGAAAAACCCGAGCATCCTGAACGAATCAACTTCTTTGACGGCCGCGGGAAGTCACCGCGCAGCGCGCGGAACGAAGAAACCCAGGGTACCCTGACGAAACTCATATGGTTTCTTGATGCGCGCCCCCACCGCAGCCTGGAACATAACTATCCAAGCACTAGGGGAACGGGAGGTGCAAGCGGCGCCACACAATCACTAACTGCCATCGCAGCCAGCGCTGCACGAGCAAAGAGCTTGGTGGGGCCGGGCGGCGCATGTGAGGAAGAGGCTGCCAGCACTCTCGTCGCTGGTAAACCGAACCAGGAAGCTCGTATGTGATGCTTTAGACGCTTGTCTTTTGAATTGGCTTGGCTGCGGGGTGAAATCCATGACTGCGGCCGCGACGAAATTCTACATTCGACTGTTTCTACGTCGCCACGCCCTCTACACTCGCTGCAGTGCGCTCAACACCCTGCGCATTCTTCACTCCCCCAACACTTCGCACGCTCTGACGTTCAACGCTCGCAACACGTTCCTCAATCTCTGCGGTTTCGAACTAGTTCTAATTCTCATGCTCTCTAAATCCTCTTCACTATCAACCCTCGCCGCGCAGAACCCCACACTCTTTACGCTCGCCACACTCTCTAACGTCTTCACGGTCTCCACGCTCTCTGCACTTTGCACACTCTGTCCGAACTCTCCATATACTCCAAGTCTACCCCACGCACCCTACACTGTTACTGATTCCTACACTTCAGCCTGGAACCAGGGACCCTCACACCAGGAAACCAGAATTGGGAACCAAGAACCCAGGAATCCTGTCGTCCTCCGAAGCCGCTGGCCCCCTTTCACAGACTTCGCACGGCGTCTGCGAATATCTACTCAGTGCGAGCGCTGATTGGGGACCAACCCACCTGAACGTTCTCAGATGCTGCACGGTGGCGTCAGCACGCGTGAATCCACACGCCAGTGTTACTCCACTCTCAACGGCCTACTGAGATGCGCGTTGGTTCAACCAGCGGGCAGCGACAGCAGATGCCGACCGCTACCGCGGGTATAATCAAATGCTGCTCGGTATCCCTGGTCTGCACGAGGGGATGCCCCACGAGTACTGCCAGAGCGAGGTCGATTCACGATGACTTCGACATCTCAGAGCTCGTCGACGCTCTGTCTCCAGCCACTGGGAGCTCGACGGGCAGAGCGTGCGACACTTCCCCTCTCCTCGTTATCCTCCCAAGTGTGTGTGGCGTGATGGTGAAACTAAGCATCCCCCTCCTCCTACTCCTCCTTCTACTCCTCCTCCTCCTCCTCCTCCTCCTCCTCCTCCTCCTCCTCCTCCTCCTCCTCCTCCTCCTCCTCCTCTTCGCCAACCCCGCCCGAGCGGCACGCTGTGTGGCGTGATGGTGAAACTAAGCATCCCCCTCCTCCTCCTCCTCCTCCTCCTCCTCCTCCCTCCTGCCTCCTCCTCCTCCTCCTCCTCCCTCCTCCTCCCTCCTCCTCCTCCTACTCCTCCCCCTCCTACCTTCATCCTCCTCCTCCTCCTCCTTCCTCCCTTCCTCCTCCTCCCTCCTCCTCCTCCTCCTCCTCCTCCTCCTCCTCCTCCTCCTCCTCCTCCTCCTCCTCCTCCTCCTCCTCCTCCTCCTCTCCTCCTCCTCCTCCTCCTCTCCTCCTCTCTCCTCCTTCCTCCTCCTCCTCCTCCTCCTCCTCCTCCTCGCCAACCCCGCCCCGAGCGGCACGCGACGGAGCAGCCCAGAGGAGTCTGTCTGCACTTCCATGGCTCTCCTCCTCACCCCTGTCCTGCTCCCCGATCCCCCCCCTTCACCGAAGCCAGCTGCCCATCCAGCCGCTGCCGGGCTGCTCCCCTCGCCCTCCGCCGTGCCTGGCCAGAGCCAAGGGGGGGGGGACCCCAAAACGGCGTACGCGCCAGCTTGCAGATGCCCACGCGGATGTCTCGGATCGGCGCTGGACCCCCCCTGGGGGGGCCCCAAGATCTACACCACCACCACCTCCCTCACCCCCCTCCCTCTCCCAGGAAAGAGGAGAGGAGGAGGAGGAGGAGGAGGAGGAGGAGGAGGAGGAGGAGGGGGAGGAGGAGGAGGAGGAGGAGGAGGAGGAGGAGGAGGAGGAGGAGGGCAGAGGAGAGAGGAGGAGTCGACGTGGTGGTGGTGCATATGCTTTGGGCCCCCACCCCCTCCCGGGCGCGCGGGGCGCGCGCCGGGGGCGAGGCTGGAGGGCGCCGCCATGGAGGTCCAGGACAGGTCCGAACCATCCGCGCGGACCTCCGCACACCTTTGAAGGGGAACTGGGACACACAAATAAATACACACACATACAAAAAAAACATACTTTCCCATATTTTCTGGGGTTTTGTCTTCCCCCCCACTTCCCAGATTTTCCCATATTTTCCTGGGGAATGGAGGATTAATTGTGTCTGTGTGTTTCTTTTCCTCCTGAATCTTGCGTTCATGCAAGCTGTTCTTCTTGGGGTGCCCGAGTCATCCTGCACAACTCGGGGTCTGGGGTTTCCGCAATCGCTCGGACGTCCATTCTGAAGGGGCCCCAGGACACACACACACATAAATACACACAAATAACATCATTCCCCATATTTTCCCATGTTTTCTGGGTTTGTGTCTTCCCCCCCACTTCCCATATTTTCGCATATTTTCCTGGGAATCGAGGATTAATTGTGTCTGTGTGTTTTTTCCCCTCCTGACATTCCCCGTGCATGTCTCGATTTCGTGCGTGTATTTGTCGCTAGATGCTTCAGAATGCTCCTCCATGGTCGTCGCCAAGAAAAACTGCACACGCCCGAGCGGTGCCAAGGGGTAACTCTGGTTGGACCCCCGACGCACGAACCAAGATGTTACCCTTGACCACCCCCAGCCCCCGATGATTCGGGAGTGGCCGGACGCCAGAGTTCTCCAAGCTAGCTCTGGTCCGGGGCAGCTCCGATGTGGGTCCCCAGGGGCGGGGCACGAATCGGGAGATACCCCTGACCACCCCCAGCACTGATGACTCAGGGCTCTGACCTTCTTCGATGCCCTCATCCCTGATTGGCACGCCCAGAATGGGTACGACGCCCAACGGCACACGCTGTCCCAACGCGACAGCAGCCACTGTTGCGCAGGCGTCCGCAGCGACGCCGACAGAAAATGGGCAAGAACTGCTGTCGGTGTTCGTTCCCATTTTGAGCAGGGACCGACCGTGCCGGCATTCCTATGTTCATATCACAAGATGTTCTTACAACCCAAACATGCTCTAAGAACAGAAACAATGTTCTTAGAACATAAACCCGATGTGTTAAAATAAGGCAGTCCCAGCCAGAAGTGTTCTAAGAACATTTCGCGGGAGCCACCAACAGGTTCTCAGAACATTGCTTGGTGGGGCTATAGGCGAGCCAGGACGCTTCGCCACTGCTTGAAAGATCCTGCGATTTGGGGGTCGTTATTCTTCTCGGCGATGACCCCAATTATCCGGTGGGGGGTGGGGTGGGGGGGGGGATGTGCCGACCGATACCCTGACCATCCCGCCTTGAACATCCCAAGGTATGCCTCACCAGTGTTTCCGTACCCATCTCGCTCGGACCGACCCACCGCTCCCCCACCGCCCCTCGCCAGACCCGCGCGACGGCGGCCGCGGGCGAGTGGGCGCGCGCGGGATGGTCGGGCCGCCTGCTCGGGCGCCGGGTCGACCTCGCCGTCCGAGAAGCCGCCCCCCGCCGAGTACCAGTCCTCGGCCCCGTCGGTCCTTGGACGCTGGCAAGGCAGGCCCCGGCAGGAGCACGAGGACAGGACTGAAGTGCCCGCTGCGCGCAGTGGCGATGGCAGCGTGCTCGTCCT